TTTTAATGACCTCCTTTCTGAAATCCCTCTGTTTCTCAGAAATAGCTGTCCTGGTTACCAGCAGAGGGGCAGTGCTGACCCACAGCCGAGGCAGCAGAGGCTCAGAGCAGCACCCAGCCTTCATTTACAGCACAAATAAGGTCTGTTTTCAGTGAATTTCACTTTCGCTCCGGCCGGCCTGCCTGAAACCAGACCCGCCGCCTGACGGGCTGAAGAGCAGCTCATCCTGCAGAGTTTGTTTTGCTAACATTATTAGCAAAACAAACTCAGCCCCGCTGATCTGCTCTCCTCCGCGGGACGCTGTCAAAGCCGGACACGGCTCTGTGGTCAGCAGGACGCCGTCTGGGCTTTAAACTTCACTCACACTCCTCCCTCATTGGCGATTTTCTTTATATCTAACTAATCAGAGCGCTTTGGAGGCTGGATAGCTCTGCTACCATTAGCACACCGTCACAGCAGCGTCCACCCAGCGGTCACTCGCTCGGTTAGCGCTGATAGCACCAATAAGGGTCCCTCGGTTCACCAACTGCGCACAAGCGCTGGTTAGTGGCCATAACCCGGGCAATGTCAGCTCAGTGAGCGCCGGCACGGTCGGCTTATCCAGCTCCGTTAGCATTAGCTTTAGGCAACCAGGCTAGTACTAACTCCCATTAGTTTGTATAGCGCTGTTAGCATTAGCTTTAGGCAACCAGGCTAGTACTAACTCCCATTGGTTTCAATAGCGCTGTTAGCATTAGCTTTAGGCAGCCAGGCTAGTACTAACTCCCATTGGTTTCAATAGCGCTGTTAGCATTAGCTTTAGGCAGCAGGCTAGTACTAACTCCCATTAGTTTCAATAGCGCTGTTAACATTAGCACTATTCTGGTTCGTGTAGCGCTGCTAGCAGCGACCCCATTAGTTTGTATAGCTGGGTTAGCATTAGCTCCACTAGCACTGCTCCCGTTAGCGTTAGCGTCAGCCTCGGCTCTACGCACCTCTGCTGAGATCCAGCGGAACGTTCTCCTCGCCGCTGTCATTTCGACCTGTCGGAAGGACAAAGTGGGGATGTGGTCAGCATTAACACGGCTCTCGTAAGCCCCGCAGCCGGAGCTCCAGCGGTCCGGAGCGCGGGAGGGGGCGGAATGAGGGAGAGAGCGGAGCCGACAGAACTCACCTCTCAGCCGGACACTGCGGCTCGGGCGGCCGCGGAGGCTCAGCGCCATGATCCGGTCGGACAGCGCGTGAATCCCGCCCAATCTCGCGATGAAGTAGAGCGCCCCGCCCCCGCCACAATCACATTCACAACAACATCACGAAGTCACATTTCTGACCAGACTGCTGTTTTACAGGGCGTCCCGGAAACACTGACATCATTCCGTGGTCTAATAACAGCCAGTTCTCCCTCAAACGATCCCAAATTTTAGCAAAACGGGTCAAAACTAACCAAGTTTAATTTTTAATGTTTTTCAGGTTGAAGAATGGCGTTCACTACAAATGAAAAGGCATTTAGTGTGTTAGAATACGCTCCAACACAGTCAAACGAGAGTGTGCAGCAGCATTTTCGAGAAAATTCAATAAAAATGCACCAACTGGACAACAGATTTTGGACACGGCACAAAAAACTCAAACAGGAAGGCTGTCCGTGCAGGAAAGAGGGATCTGGACGACCACCAGTATCGGAAGATATCGTCAGTCAGGTGCGAGAAACATTTGTGCGAAGCCCCGGAAAGTCTGTAAGAAGAGCATCTCTGGAAACCCAGATTCCTCGAACGACACCCTATAAGCTGCAGCTCGTTCGGCACGTATTGAACATCTGTGCAGCTGTGAAATCGGTTATTAAATCTACATCCCTCTGAATTTCTTGTTCAAATTTTGATAAATAAATCTTGTATTGTTCAACATGAAGCCTATTTAGTTTCGTTTGCCAGGACATGTAGTTACTCAGATACCCACATCTCAAATGATGTCATTTTTTTGGGACACCCTGTATATTAGGGATTTCTGCACGCTGTGCTGATGATTTCCACTCTCCTGGGCTGTGTTGAGTCAAACTGTCCTTTTGCTGAATTCAGTTGCACCACAGACCCTTAAAGAGCTGGTAAGCCTTGTTTTCTTGCATGTTTTCTGTGCTGAGCTCCATATTTGTGTGGGTTTATGTAAAAGTCATAAAACAGTCATAACTCATCTCTACATGGCCGTTTTCAAACATCCCCAGAAGTAAACAGGCTGTTTTTGTTACCGTGCCTTTAAGACTGATATGTAAATGAGCTCTGACTGGTTGCCTCATTAAAAAAGAAGTCTGAGGGCAGAGCTAAACTGTTGTAGGTGGAATGGGTGGGGCTAACCAGGCTGTTTTCGTTACTGTGTCTTTATGACTATTATATGTAAATGAGCTCTGTTGTGATTGGCTGCCTCATTCACAAAGAAGTCCCGGCTGAAACACTGCTTATAACTTCAGCATTAATGGGTGGGGCTAAAGTCCTGTAGGTTTGAGTGGGCAGACCTAAACAGGCTGTTTTTGTTACTGTGCCTTTATGACTATTATATGTAAATGAGCTCTATTCTGACTGGCTACCTCATCCAGAAAGCAGTCCATGCTGGAACACTGCTAATAACTTCAGGGTGAATAGGTGGGGCTACAGACCTGTAGGTTTGAGTGGGCGTGTCTAAAGTCCTGTAGGTTTGAGTGGGCGTGACTAAAGTCCAGTAAGTTTGAGTGGGCGTGACTAAAGTCCTGTAGGTTTGAGTGGGCGTGACTAAAGTCCTGTAGGTTTGAGTGGGCGGAGCAAAACAGGCTGTACTTACGTCCAGCTGGGGCAGCCGAGCCGGGAGAGAAGAGTTTGAGCCAAACTTGAGTCGAACTTCAACTTTATTTGGATAAATACCAGGATCATATAGAGAAATGAGACTAATATCTCATTAACACAGGTTTAATATTCTCAGGTTGTGCAGGTTTACATTTTTTTGGTTTTCATATGATTTTATAGCAGTACTGAAACACAGAGCAACATCAAGAGTACATCATTCAAACAGTCATCAATGAACTGGGGTTAGTTTAGCTCTGCGTTAGTAGTCCTGATTCCCGGAGAGCTGCAGTGACAGAACTGATCCAGCAGTACTGAGGTTCCCCTCCGCTCAGTCGTTATCATAGACACAGTCTGAGAAAAGACAAACACAAACAAACAAACAAACAAATGGAATGAATAAACTAAGATAGACCAACTCAGACTGACACAGACTTAAATAGCAAAATATTTAAACGATACCTTCTCCCACATCATCATAAATATCAGAATCCCTGAGAGAGAGAGAGAGACAGAGAGAGACACAGAGAGAGAGAGAGACAGAGAGAGAACGAAAGGAGGGAGGGAGTAAAAGATAAACAACATTAGTTACTGTTGAGACAAACAGAGATTTTAATTCAGGTAATCAGACGGTACTCACTGCTGGAAGTTACTGACGGACACAAACCCAACTGCAAACGAGAGAAACATTATTATTATAACAGTGTTACAACGTGTGTTTATTACTGTTTATAACTGTATTTATGACTGTGCTTATAACTTTATATGAACTTCTATAACTATTGACTGTAACTGTGTTTATGACTGTGTATATGAATGTTTATAACAGTATGTATAAACATCTATAACTGTTGACTGTAACTGTGTTTATAACTGCGTTTATGACCGTACATGAATGTTTATAATAGCGTATGTGAACATCTGTAACTGTTGACTATGTTTGTAACTGTGTTTATAACTGTTTCTAACAGTTTATGAAGGTTTATAACAGTGTATATTTAGATCTATAATTGTTGACTATGTTACTGTGTTTATAACTGTGTTTATGAACTTTAACTGTTGTGTTTGTGACTGTGTTTATAACTGTGTATATGAATTTTTATAACAGTGTATATGAACTTCTATAACTGTTATGTTTGTAACTGTTTTTATAACTGTCTATAACTGTGTATATGAATGTTTACAACTGTGTAAATGAACATCTATAACATCTGTAACTATGTTTGTAACTGTACATACAATGTCTTTAAAAGTGTTTACGGTTACGTTTATCACTGAGCACACACAAAGTCTTTATAACCTTTTATTAATGACTTTCTAAAAAAAAATCTTTATAACCATGTGTTAATGACTATGCTTATAACTGCGTTTATGATTGTGTGTTTATAATGACAGGCATATGTTTACAATTGTGTGTTTATGACCACATGACTGTGTTAATGTCTAGTTATTACCATGTGTTTATGACTGTGTTTATAACTGTGTTTATGACTGGTTATAACTGTGCGTTTATAAGTGTGTTTGAGTGCGTGTTTAAGACCACATGACTGTGTTTATAACTGAATATTCATGACGGTTTATAATTCTGTTTATGGCTGTGTTCGTAAATGTGTGCAGGACTGTGTGTTTATTCTATGATGTACTGGATGTTTATAACTGCGTTTATAACTGTTTTTCACAGTGTACATGAGCGTTTGTGCGTGTTTGTGTGTCTCACATTTGCCCTCGCTGTTTCTGCCGATGACTTTGCCATCCTTTGGTTCGGTGATCACGCTGATGACATCACCAGGCTTGATGACCAGGTCCTTACCACCGAACTTCTTACAGGCCAGAACAGGCAGGACAGTCACCTCATACAACACATGGATCTCCTTTTCATACTGCAGGAGGAGACATCGTCATCACCAGTTTAATCACCAGTAAAATCACCACAATCATCACAAATTCAGCACCACCATCATCATTTTTATCTGTATAATCACCACGATCACCAGTATAATAATCACAATCATTACAAACATCAGCACCATCATCATGTTCACCAGTATAATAATCACAATCATTACAAACATCAGCACTATCATCATGTTCACCAGTATAATAATCACAATCATTACAAACATCAGCAATCACAATCACAATCACAAACATGATCACCATCATCACCAGAATAAATGATCACAAACATCAGCACCATCGTCGTTATCAGTATAATCA